TATCTTACAAATTATTTGTGCACCACTTTATATGAACCTCACGAGCCGCCACTGGGACTGTATAAATTAGCTACTCTAATGTTTGGTTTAGTTATTGTAACTAAAAATATTGTTGTCAAGAGTATTTGAAGTATTAACTTTGCCTTTTTATTGAGTAGTTGTAACTAAACTCAATAATCACTCTAACTATAGTATATAGTTATCAAGACTAAGGACGCCCATAGGGGGCATGTTCCCCGCTATTGTAATTAATACTATTTATAGTTTATAGAAGGTGCTGCAATTTATTTATGTCTAATATATATATATATATCACCTGTTGTTTATGCAAAAAATATATATTATTATTATTATTTGTATTAAATTATAAAAAAAAAATATAAATAGTATATGCTTATCAGAGAAAAATGTTTTACTTTTGACTTTGCTCTCCCCTCTCGTTCATATTTCTGCGGCCACCATTGATCAAGACTAATATACTTAAATTTCAATTGTTACAACTTAATGGTAATGAGTAAAAATTAAGTATTAATTATATTCATTTCCTGTGTAGTGTGTATATAGATTTTAGATTAATAAAAACAAATAAACTTTTAATGGAATATTTTATTTAATAATTACAATATTAAAGGTATGAAATATAAACCATTTTGTTTTATGCAATAAAATATAGGACTAAAATCAGGCAATTCAGTAAAATATGAAGAAGAAATAATTTGAGTTTTTTCAATGTAATATGATTGTGAATGATCATTAAAATGAATTGTTTTTAGTTCTTCAAAAATAGTTAAAGGTCAGGCAATATTGAATTGTATTTAAAAAAACCAAAAACTGGTAAATCTAAAATATCTAATATCAAATAAATATTATTGTTTGTTGTATAGTGTATATTTTTTACTTCAATCCAAGAAACAAAATTAGAATTTTCTATACACGGATGATTTAGAATAGAAGCTAAATTTTGTTTTATGTCCAAAGAAAACTTTAAATTTCTACCGATCTTTAAATAAGTTAATGACGGAGAATATTTTGAAATCTGAGTAAATTTATATGACATTTTTAACTGATTTTTTAACAATAATATATGACAAATATTTTTTCTACTCGATATTGCTCGTGCAGTTTTTTTTGATTCTTTATGTTTGGCCTCAAACCACATGGACCAAATATTAATCAACGGACTTACTTGTTCCTTATTATGAGGATAATGAATCAAATGGTGGAATTTGGGTTTTAAATTAAATTTTGTTAGTTTTAAATATAAGTCATGATGTTGTGATATTAAAATCTTAAGTAACTGTGGGCATTCGAATCCAATTGGTTGAGCAGTAATAGTAAAAATATAACAAAGGAGGCAATTATGTTATACCTAAACTTGTGTGAGTCATGCCAAAAAAAGGGAAGTACAATTAAAAAGGGCTTAGTAGTCAAACCTATAATATCAAAAGAAATAAACTCACGATGTCAGATAGACTTAATTGACATGTAGGCACAACCTAATGGTAATTATATGTTTATTTTAGTTTACTAAGACCATTTAACTAAATTTGTAAACTTACGTCCTTTAACTCATAAACGAGCATAGGAAGTTGCATATATTTACAAATTTTGGTGCCCCAGCTATATTGCAATGTGATAATGGTAGGGAATTTGCAAACAAGGTAGTAGAAGAGTTATGTATCATGTGGAAAGACTTAAAAATAGTACACGGTAAACCTCGCCATTAACAAAGTCAAGGTTCTGTAGAACGTGCCAACCAAGATGTTGAGAATATGTTAGGAACATAGTTGCAAAACAATAAGACCAAAAAATGGAGCGAAGTAAATCTTCACGGTACGAAGCTATGTTTAGCTCTAGAGCTAAAATTGGATTAAATAATTGTATACTCCCAATGCATGTAGTAACAAAATTAAACACGGAAAAAGATTTAGAAAAGGCTTTAAACACTATTGAAGAAGAAGAAAATAAAGAAAAAACAGGGACAATGAAGTGATTACAGTAGAAAATGGAAAAAATTACAATTCTGAGGATGCTTTAAACTCTAGAAAACTTTTTATTCACACAAAAAGAAATTAATGTGTATATAATTTAGAAATGCAAGCAAATAAAATGAAATCTATCTCTGAAAGAAGATTTTGTGAAGGAAACATTGGAAAATCGGTAAAAATAAAAATACCAGACGTAGATAGAGCTCGAAGCAACTTAACGATCAATTTTGGTAGTAATTATGTCAGGTATTATAATCAACAACATTTTCATTCAGTGGTGGTCAAACAGGGGGGTTAGGTTTTTTAACCACTACTGTTTTCATTATTATTTATTACTTAATATTTTTATTTCTAAATTAAATTTTATATAGTGGAAGACGGAAATTATAAATTAGGCACAACCAAAGGTAGATTAAAACATTATTACAGTAGAAATCAATTTACCATTTGCAAGAAGAAGTTTGTAAGTGTTGATGAAGTACCCGATATTCAGTTGTCACTAAGAGAAATAGCTAGGTTGTTTTCAAATCTAGGAGGCCAAAGTTATGACCGCTGCACTTATAGTCAAAAATGTGAAACTAGAAGATGCAAATGTAAAGCAGCTAGAATTTTATGCAACTCCAAATGCCATAATAGTAATATTTGTAAAAATAAATAGATTATTTAATAAAAATGAATATAATTAATAAAATATTCTCCATTTTGTTTACGAATCTCATAAAAAGCATATTAAATAAAATTATATAATGATCATTATAATATAAATTCATCATAATAATTGTTCACTTGGCACCTGTAGTACTACTCGTTGTATACAATGTCTGGTTTATGTGAATAATTATCTACTTGGCTTGAATATGGACAAGGTTTTCATTGGACATTGTAAACTTTGTCCGGTTAGTGTTTACAATGACCATTTTTCCACCTGGACCGTAACATATATATAAGTACCTACATAATAAAGTCTAGTGATGGGCAAAAAAATCGATATTTTAATAAATTTATATCGATATTTTGGATCGATATTTCTTTTCCTATACATTTCGATATTTATCGATGTTTCAGCCCTACTGATACCAGTTTTTTTAAATTTCAATAATTTCAGGTCCGTGTAGATAAAAATAGATTACATATTTTGGTTTTCCTATTTCTAAACGGTAAATCAACAATGATAATTTATGAACATTCTCTATGTTATTAGACATGTATTTGTAGTTTTTACTACATTACATGTAGTTTATACCCTGGCGACCGTAAAAATATAGTTTATTCATTAAATCATTATCATTTCTCTGTATTCCGTTCATATCTACCGTGATTGTTACTCGTGTCTTTAATGTGAAAATAATTTATATAAAAACATTAAAACTAATTTTGACGTAATTGATTTGATGACATCAAGATGCAAAATTTGTTTTAAAAATGTTAAAACAAGTGGAAACACAACAAATTTAAAAAAACATTTGGAAAGAAACCATTCGGGATTAAATATTTTTAGGTAAATATTATATAAATGAAGTAAATTAGTGTAATATACTAGAAAAAGTAAAATTATATTCAATTTATATTTTAGTTCAATTCCAACAACCGTGTTTTTATACCAGATTCTATAAAAAATATGGAAATTCATAAAGAACTCAAAGAACAATTAGAGGATGATCCTTTAATATTTTCTGGCTCTAAGACTACTTTGGCATTGTAAGTTCATTAAATTAAAATTAACACATATTAAATTAGTATCTCGATATTTATATTTTAGTGGATGTGCAGTATCATCAACAACAACAACATCAGTAACACCAAATAAGAAAAGACTAGGTAATCCAAATGCCAATAAATGAAACATTTCGTTCAATTGAATCTTTTTCAGGTACCTATTAAGTATAAATAATATTAAAATATATACTCAAAAATGATAGTATAGAATAGTAATTATTAGGGAGGCACCTTCACAAAGTTAAATTCTTTAAATAATTATCAAACTAAAAAATAATAGATTCTTAGTAAATTTGCAACTTTTTTGTATGAATATTACCAGTTGTTTAAGATAAGAAATTATTTAAGTAAAAAAATATAAGTTTTTAATGTATTTTTTTTCTTGTTGTAATATATTTTTATATATATTTAGTAAAATTATTGAAATTTTAAATATTATATTGCTATTTTAGTTCTTTATACAAAGTTAAAGAACCAAATTTAAGTAACATAAAATAATTATGTGTTTTATAAATTTATTTCAGAAGGAGGTACTAAGTATTTAAAACTTTCTAATGCACTGCTTTTCATTATTGCCAAAGATGGTCTACCTCTTAATATAACAGAAAAAGAAGATTTTCAAGCTTACTCAAAAGTTGCTACACCATTATTCAAGTTACCTAGCAGAAGAATTATAACCAGGATGTTAGATGATAAGTATGATATGATTTCTGAGGTATATATATTATCGATTATGTTCAAAATATTACATTAACAACAGACGCCTGGACTAATGTCTTAAATAGTAAAAGCTACTTAGGAGTTACTATGCATTTTATACAAAATTTGCAATTAGTTTCTGTAGTAATGGATGTACATCCGCTATCTGGATCAAGGAGTGATTTACAAATGTGATTGATTTATTTTTAGCTCTTTTGGAAATCAGAAATCAATAGTGAATCATAGGTTATCAAATAATATGCAACACCTTATAGCAAGCAGGAAATAAATAGAATACATGAAATTATAACATTTATATGGGGTTATCTACACCAACATGCTAATTTATTGAAAAAATTGAATATTTATTTCTTCCTTTCTGTACATGGTTGACTATTATATTTTGTAGTATTTATTTCCATAAGAAATACTTAATTTTAAAAATGTATATTTTAGTAAAAGTTTTTATTGCCTGACAAGTGTTTCCAGACTTTAACAAGATAAAATTAATCTCAATTTAAAAAAATGTTTTATTTAATAACAATTCCATAAATAAAAAATACAAAAATAATAACGAAATAAATAAAAATTTGGGAATTATTAATCCCGTTTTGGGATATTATTACAATGTAAAATAGTCTTATAAATCTATAATATTATCTATAGTATTGTAATTCTTATAGTTATTAATCTTAAACAAAACAGTTTATTTTACTTATTTATCTTATTTATCTTATTTTTAAACTTCTTCTGTCTTACATAATGTTTCCAGCTTGTAGGAAATTGTTTAATATCGAAATCCAGCAAACATTTACTTGCAAACAGATTTCCAATGTCAACTATATGACGAGGTATTTCGATTTCTCCATCAACTAAATATTTCTAAAAACACAATTAAAATATTACCAAGATCTGCAGTAAATCTACTAATACATAAAAATAAATATCTATAATAAAGAATTAGTTTAATTAGAAGGTAACACAAAATATTTGAAAAGTACTATTGAGACAATGTTACAAATTATTATGTTTTCAAATATTTCATATTTATAAATTGTAATGATGTGCATCATTCTTTGTAAAATACTGCACAAATATTTTATAATAATGTATAATATTCATATGTACGTAATTTGAAACTATTTTAAATAAAAAAATAATGGTTTCTTCGATACCCCTACAGACAACATAAATCGAACAATAAAGACAATAATATTCAAAGGACCGGCCAAGGTCCATGCCGTCATACGTCCCTATATAACAGGGACATACAACTCTTCCTGGAGCTCTTGATCTTCGATCGTCTGTGCATGCGCACCGATCATAAGATTAACGAGAGAGTTTATACGTGTGATTTTCATCCGTTCGACTTGTGTTCTCCGTACGAGTATTGAAGAGTACCCGATTCCAGTGCATCGAATTCTGCATTTATCCTTTTTACAATCTCGCATCGATATCTGAAGGTCTACGGAAAAGAAGTAAGTGCTGCTTTATTTAGCTTAGCAGACTGTACAATTGCGCTGATCGGCTCTCGAACCTTTACAACCCTGAGAGCCCTCCCTTAAATAAGGAGGAAGGTAACAATCCTTAATACATTATAAAATCTCACCACCTTTACATCTTCACCCCATTCAAATATATCTCTCTCTCCTACTTATTCTTATTTTTTATTTTTGAGTTATTACAAAATATTATATTTATATTTCATTTTATACTATAATAATAGAATGGTATGAAATTTAAACTATACATTTCCATAAATATTTACAATAATGTATTACTATATTATTTAAATTTAAAAATAAACAAGATTCGTTAATTTACTCATTTTTTACCTTTAACTAAAAATTGTTTAATTCATAGATAATAAACTCATAAATAAATAAGTTTCAACGTATTCTAATTAATAATAATAACAATTATATTTCTTTATTATATTTCAAGAATTACAAGTAAATATTTAACTACAGTGTTTAAATAATATATCGGATCTGCTTGAAAGCCTATGTATAAAGATAAAGATTATAGAACTAAACTGAAATTGGTTGGTTATACTAAATTAATATACTGCTGAATTAAAAAAAAATTTAAATTAAATAAAATAATTTTATGAAAATACTAATATTAGTAAGCACATTGATTATAATACACATACCTTCAAAGGCTTAGGTTCCAATGTTTTCTTTCGACGAGTTATCAGCATTTTTAAATCAGTTAACTTTCTATGTGAAAACCATCTTTTTTGTACAATTTTCAATATCATTGGTAACATGTCAAATATATTTGAATTTTTATACTTAGCTCGAGTTCTATGTAATTCTGTTAATCTCTTAAACAAATAATTAATTTTATGAACCAGAACTCTGAAAATTAAAAAAATAATTTAATATAACAAAATAATAAAACTAATTAAATCTATAGTTATAACTATAAATTATTAAATACTTTTCTTCTGAAGGTCCCATAGGATGAGTCTCATAATCAAGACTAAAAGTTTTTGATGGTAATAAATGAGGATAGATAAATACAGGTCTATCATAAAATAGCATAAATTCTTTCAGATACAATGGTAAGGAAATGTTATTCCTGAAAATCAATGTAATAAGAATTATAATATTAATTTATTGCAATATATAATTTAATACAGTGAATATAAATATGAAGAAAAATTTAAAAAAAAATTAGAGAACATTTTAAAATATAAATGAATTCAAGAACTAAAATTATAAACAAATAGCAAAAGTTTAAATTATGAATGACACAAAACAGAAAATTAATCATTATTTTTATAATTATCGTTCTACATACTAAAAATGAGCATTATGCTAATTATAAGTTTAAATGATATGTTTATATAAAAAAATAAACAATATATTTTCAGCTTATATCATTTAGTAAATTACCAATTAGTATCAATGTCATCATTTTGTATTTCAATCCACTCTTGAATAAATTCAAAAGATGTGGATAGGTTGATTGGTGTATAGATTTTATGTTCACTGATTTTTTTAATTATGTTCTAAAATCAATTAAATTAGTTAACTCATATAAGAAAGTATTTCAAATATACTTAATAAAAATTATAATGCTATAATTAATATATTTTATTATTTATTTACCAACATATTTTTTAATTTTCGGCAAAGAATTTTGTATGATTTTTCCTTTGTGCATAATATATAGTGCTGGGTTATCAATTGGACATGTTGTGCGAGTTGCTGTTTTAATAAAAATAATTGTTCTGTTGACATACCTTTCTTTTTATCACAAACAATTATATTTTGAGGAACTAAATTTGTTTTTTCAGCACCTAATTACATTGTAATAATTATTGTTAAGTTTTTCAGTGTTTGACTCAAAATACAATACTATTGTCGGTAAAGTAATAATAGATTTTTTTTATTTGCTCACTAATACTCATTTGATGATTGTTAAGATCAGATAAATTTGGTTCTTCTCCTAATTGTGTAGAATAATTAACCACTTCAGTCATTTGTAAATCATTCATAGACCAAGCAGTACTTAATTTACAATCAGAATAATTTAAAGTATTAACAGGAAAAAATGGATAAGTAACTTTAGATATAGCTTCAATCTATAAATAACAACATTAGTGATTATAAATTATAATAAATTATTTAAATGTTATAATTTTTAATATGTTAATACATATATAAATAAAATTACATTATCAATTGTAGAACATGTTGTGTTAGATTTCCAATCTAGAACATTTAAAGTATAAGCAGAAGTAGATGGACTAAAATTTTTATCAATAATCTGAAAATAATAATGAAACCAAATTATTTAATTTAATAAATAATTTAAAATCAGTGTATAAATTATATTACATTATCATTTATAATACAATTGCTATTTGATTTCAACTCTGAATTGTTTGGTGTACAGACAGACATAGATAGAGAAGAATGGTTTGGTTTAACAGTATTCTGAAAATAATTAAAGTTCAATTCAATTTTAAAAATGAATTTCAAACTAATTCTTTATTCTTAAAGTAAAAAAAAAAAAACTTAATTACTTTATCATTTTCAAAATCTGTAATAACTGCATTAGTTTCAAGTAATTCGCCAACATTACCACCATTGAACTCAATATAGCTTTCAGTAAATTCGTACAACTCATTCATTAAATCATTATATTCCTTACGACTAATCCTCACAGACTTATCAATTCGAAATTCTTCTTGATCAACTATAAAATTCATAACCAATTTACTAATTAATAAATACATTTTTTGATTATAAAATGTATGCCTTTAAAAGGCTCATGACTCCTTTTGAAATCATGTTCTTTAATGTGATATAAAATAATAAGTAACGGCCCTAAACATTATTTTATTGTATATTTGAGGAGGAAACATTATTTTCTATGGAGTGGTCATACTGTAAAATCACGTTGGGTAATTTGTTATCAATAATTATCAATCATTCAAAAAAAAAATGTTACTGTATTTTCGTTACATGGTCGTGTTTGCTGTTCATTATAGGTAAGTAATATTCATAATTAGTGATTTTTAAAAATATTATTACGTTTCTAATATATAATTAAATATTAATTTTGCGTCTGAGAGCATTATGTGCCAAGTAAACAATAATTATTGTGATATTCAAATGATGATCCCAAAACGTATCACTGGGTTATTTCTTTTTATCGTGTTGTATATTTAATGGAATTATATATGCCCATTGATTCGATTTGACATCATTAAGTCTTATTAGAAATATTTGCAGTTAATTTTTTATTTTATTTTTTATGTAATTGATTATAGGTTTAAAAATTACTACTCTTGTCAAAAAAATGGGTCGAGTATCAATACTAATTTTTCTGAAATAGAACAGTACATAGGAATACACTTTTATATGAGTATCGTAAAAATGCCATCCTATAGGATGTTTTGGAGCTCACAGACTAAACAGATTTTCAATAATAAGTGATAACATGTCATGTAACAGATATGACAAATTACGATCTAATTTTCATGTAAACAATAATGAAAATTTACTTCCACGAGACAACCCAAATCATGACAAACTTTTTTAAATCCGTCCGTTTATAGATTCTGTTAGGAATAATATGAAAAAAATACCAGTTGAAGAATACAGTTCAGTTGACGAAATAATTATACCATTCAAAGATAGATTTGTCATGAAACAATATAATAAAAACAAACCGCATAAGTGGGGCATCAAAATGTTTGCCATGGCTTCCAAGAATGGTATAATTCATGACTTTGAAATTTATGTTGGGAAGGGTACTGTACAACTGTTCGACACAGGACTTGGTCTGAGCGGAGACATCGTCATGCGATTAACTGAATGCATACCTAAATTTGAAAATTATAAAGTAGCTGTGGACAACTGGTTTAATTCTTACAGTCTCCAATGTCGTACAAAATATGCAGGCTTACAATGTATTGGAACTGTACGATCAAATAGAACGGGTAATTGTGATTTTGAGACTGATACTGTAATGAAAAAAAGTGGACGTGGCTCGTATGACTGGAAAATTGTCTCTACAAATAAAATAGTTTGTTGTAAGTGGTTTGATAATAAGTATGTGCATATTATATCAAACTATATGGGAATAGAACCAACTGATTCCGTTGAAAGATGGAGTGTGTCAAATAAAAAATATGTTTCTGTTGTCAGACCAGCCTGTGTGAAGGAATATAATAGCTTCATGGTGGGAATTGACCTGCATGACATGCTGGTAGAATTGTACAGGACAAAAAAATAAAGTTAAACACTTATTTAAGAATCATACACCATATTTTAGATATGTGCACTGTAAATGCTTGGTTACTTTACAGAAGACACTGTCAGCAATTACATATAACTAAGTATCAAAGTATGTTGCAATTCAAAACTAATATTGCTGAAGGACTTAAAAATGCTGGATTTAATAAAAAAAAACAAAGGGGACGTCCATCTTCAAGTATAAATTTTGTAAATCCTACACCTCCTAAAAAAAGAAAAGTTTTTGCTGCTAGACTGTGTGCTGACGTACAGTTTGACAAAATAGAGCATTGGCCATGTCCTATTAGTGAAAGACAGAGGTGCAAACATTGTCCAGAACATAGCTATTCTAGAATGAAATGCGAAAAGTGTAATGTTTACCTTTGTTTGAATAATAACAAAAACTGTTTTGTAAGTTTTCACAACAAATAACAAATAATTAAATTAATCAAATGCCTAATTCATTGTTATTTTGTATTTTACTGTATTTTATTTTATTTCATTTAATCATTACTATCCTCTTTTGTCTTAAGTATAGACTTATTATAATTATCTTATGTTTTTATTATATTGTTATAGTTTTTGTTATTGTTAAGTTTTCAGTTTTTATTTATTAGCATTACTTTTTTTTTTTTTTGTATTGTAGACTGATTATAAGTATCTTACAAGTCTGAAATATTTAAGGAATTTTAAAATTTAATTAATTATCCAATTGTTATTTTAAAATGTGCAAACTTCCTGTTCTCATTTTATTATAAAACTATATATTTTTGTTATAAAGTTATTAAGTAAATTTTTCATATATATGAATTGTGACTATTTTTATTTGAAATATTTTGCAGTATTTTTTTTAATAAAGTATGTTGTTATTGTCTAAAATACTTAATATTATTATTCACCTAGAATATAATCCAAACTACAAAATATCATGTTATCTAATACCCAGTGATCTCATTTGACATCATGTGTTTTTTGACTTTAAAAAAATAGTAAAAGAATTTTTTTTATTCAATTCATATTATTTAAGCCCTATTTAATAATCATAAAAAAAAAATTTTTTTCATGTCTTTCACTATGTAGGCTGCAAAGGGTTAATAAATAGTTAGTAACCAACAAATTATATTATTGAAAAAGCAAATACTACAACCTTACATGATCCAAAAATATTAACTAAATTCTGAAAAGCATTAATCAAATGTAACAAGTAGTAGCAAAATTGTTTTCATAATAATTACACTATAGATTTTCTAATTAAAATTAAATTTATAATTGTTTTATAATTACCACTGGTAAAATCATCATCACAAAGGACATTGTACTCTGGATCATCTTCATTATCATCATTTTGAACAAATTCTAAAGTAAATCAAAAACATTTATATATTATTTAATATATATATATATATATATTTATCTACGGAAGAGACAATCATTCTTACTTTTGTTAGTTGTAATTATTTTTAATAACTTTAAAGGGTTTAATATACGGTTATAAATTTGTACTGCCATAGTATTATATATTTATAATATTTCATATTATACTACCATATAATAGTTGTTTAGTATATATTATAATATATACTATAATATACTACTTAATATGATAAATAGGACTTAACATTTAATAGATAAGCTACAAATTGAAGTAATACTTGTATAATACAAAATTTAACTTCACATATTTTCTCCATACTTTGAGGTTTTATTATTTTTAGATATATTTGTCTACATTTTAGTTTTTTACCAAAATAACAATACTATGAATATCAGATGTCTTAACACAAAATATCAACAGTTTTATAGTATATATACTTTTATATTTATGTAAAAAAATATATAATACAGTGCGATTCCTTTTAAAGATATCAATAAATAGTTATGTCTAGCCACATTGAATTTAAATGAGCTGTTTTTAAATAGTTAGGGACAGTTCAAATACATATTTTTACAATTTCCAAATATTTAACCCTTTTATTATGTGCATATAAAATACAACTAGCATTTTTTTTAAATAGCAACAGATTTAGATAAACCGAATATTTTTATTCATTATACCATAGCTCTAAAACCAAATTTGACTTAATGATGATTTAAAGTTTCGATTAAAATTATTGAATTATTCAACAATCATTCTAGAATTTTATGAATTATCATGCAATTTATTTTCTTTTTTTTTTGTATTCGTAGGTTTGCAGACATTATCAAATAATTTAAATTTAATTTACTGCTCATGTGTTCTATGGTGTCATTTAAAAATGTAGCATATTCAACTTCATCTTTAAATATTAATGACCTCAAAAATAAAATAAAAAATGCTTGTGTAAAACTTCAAAAGGAGATGTTAGCAGCCACTTAAAAAGAAGTGAAGCGTCGATTTCAACCATGACTAAAATTTATGTCAAAAGTGTAATTGAAGTTAGTTAATTCCTCAAATTAAATTTAAAAGATTTGATGTCTGAAAAATCTACGAATACATAAAAAAACAAGAAATTGAATAATAATTTATAAAATTCTAGAATGATTGTTGAATACTTCAATAATTTTAATCAAAACTTTAAATCATTGTCATTAAGTCAATTTTGGTTTTAGAGCTATGGTATAAAGGATAAAAATATTCGGTCTATCTAAATCTGTTGCTGATAACAGGTGTTGCTATTTAAAAAAATGCCAGTTGTAATTCACCAGCGTACACTAAAATTACCATACAATTTAGTAAAATATTTATTTATATATACCTAAAGGTTTTGTAAATTCACTAAGAAATTCCATCCATTCATCATTTTCACAAGCCGAGTCATACATATCTTCAGTAATATCTGGTGGAATAAAAGCTTGTTCAATAATTTCTAATGGTGTGTCATTTAAAGATAACTTTGATCTTGTACGCATTCCAATTGTTTCCTATATAAAAAAATTATTAATGCAATTTAATTTTAAAACATCTAACGATCTCATACTTTATCATTTAAAACAACGGCTTTTTCTTTAATATTAACACTACTTTCTGCTTCACAATCTGTTTCAAATGATTTATTTATTTCTGTACATTTGGATTCATCATCATAATCATCATCTTCTTCTTCCTCTAAAGTTTTATCTGGATGATATTCCTCATCCTCAGAGTCATCAGGGAATTCTTTCTCAATCAATAATCTACATTCTGATTCTGAAATGATTGGTTGTTGCTGAATCGGAGACAACTGAGGAGGGTAAGTTATTGACATTTCTCTACAAATATATATTATTTTAATTTCAATACTTCATCTAACCAAACAGATACTATAAAATAAATAATCAACCTAATTTTTGCTCTAGTTAATTTTGGTTCGTATAAACAATTTCCATCTAAATCATCATTTAAAGTTTGCCGCAACATAATAGCAACATCATCATTCGTTAATACATTCTGAAATTTAACATTATAACAGTATATCAAACAAATCGTTTAAATATAACTGTAATTAAATATTATAAAGCAGGGATAGCAAATCCATGGCACGCAAAAAGTTTTACTATTATATATTATATAATATATAATATTATAGGACCTATAATATAATATAAATAATTAATAAAGCAATATTATTATAATTATTATTATTATTATTTATTATTTATTATTATTATTATATACCTAAACTAACCTTTTTATACTAATATATTAATTATACAATAAAATTATAATATTTTTAATATTTTTTTCATAGCACGCTCTATAAAAAAAAAAGTAATTTTGGGCACACAGTTTTCAAAAGGTTTGCCATCCCTGTTATAAAGTAAAACATATTTTTGAGCATTTAACACATATAAGTATTAAAATGTATTTACTATTTTATATGAAACAAATTATTTTTAATAAGAGATATAAATTGTTGGTAGAAAAATTATAATTTTTATCACTTATTCTTAATTATATAATAGTTAAATTAGTACCTTAATTAGGTTCTTAACATTTCTTTTAGTTAGTTGATTCTTCATTGCTTTATCGTTCAATGTTTGATCTATATCAACATTTGAATCTGGTTGACTATCATTTAATATTGCAACCAATTCCTTTTCGGCCCTAAAAATCAATCACATGAAAATAAAAATTGAATCTCATCTTCACAATAATTTCAATAATAATTGTTTAACAAATTTGAACAATAAATATTTTCATCATTTAAACCTACTTCCTGATATATACATTATAAAATTCAATCAACAAAATAATTTTTTTTAGTTTCAAAATATGATTTTGAAGTACACCAATGAGCAATTATAGAATTTTTTTAAGATTTTAATTGTTAAAAGAGTAGTTTTTCAAAAAAAAAATAAGGCTCACATTCAGTGGCGGCTGTAAGGAGGGTGGGCATGAAGCCATGGGCCCCCCCAAATTCCTAAAAAAAAAAAAGGTAATTATACCTATGGTTATTTAGTATTATGTCTATTACAGTTTTATTACTATACATTATTTTATATAGTATAATATAATGTTTGTTATTTTGATGTGTTGTTCTCTACGTCAATGGTTACTATCAGAAATTATAATTATAATTCTAGTTTGGTAAATTTCTTATCGTCACAATCTACAACGCTAATGCTGTTTTGTCAATATTTATAAGTAATAGTCTATACATCCTACTATTCCTACTGTATATTTGTCACAACGTGCATTATTTTCTGTACAATTTACTTTGATTCAAATGTTTAATCAGTTTCCAGGCATCTATTTCAATTAATTTGTTTGTACTTTATCATATACATTTTACTATTCATACCTAAAAATAGTACTGTTTTCCATGTCTATTGGTTGTCCACAAGCTGTGAGCAATCCTCTTTATGTTTATACGTTTCGTTAGTCTTTGTAAAAATTATATATTATATATAATTTTTCAATATATTATGCATATATATATATATATATACTTTTTTATTTATTTATTTAAATAATAATATGATGTACTTAATAAGATCACTGCGATTATTTATGAGCTCTTAATATTATAGATACAATACAAAGTGTAAATCATTATATATAGATATAAAGATCTCAAAAACTGTTTTAAAAAAAAATTGATTTTCCTCATGCCCCCTAAAAAAAAAGAATCCTAGAGCCGCCACTGCTCACATTGAACAAATATATTTATTTGATAAACATATTAGTTTGTCAATTATTAAAAGTATAATAAATGTATATGAAATTATATGTTTCATTAGTGAAAAGAAATGAAAGTAAAATATAACTTGCAAAAATACATAAACACAAATAATATATTTTTCATTTAACATAATAAACAAATAATTTAAATTTCAATAAGAAAAATATACATACTCTGATTGCATGTTGTCATACAATTGATTTGCCATTTTCAAAGAACAACTTAAGAAAGTTTAATCAAATATATTTTTATATTACAGCAGTAATAAAGTCAAACGTCCATCGTTAGTTATGTTATTCTCACTTACTGAATTACAACCATAAACACTGTTTTTACTTAAAATAATTACAAGGAAAAGTAATTAGGTAGAATGATAATAGTTTTGTGATTAATATTAACAATACAAATTTTTAAATTAAAAAAAATCAAAAAACCAAAAATCAATGTTATCTCTAAAATTAATGATTATTGTGAGAGCGATTTAAAACCGCGATTCTGACAGTTTCCCGGCGGCAGAAGTGTTAACAGGTCGTTATCACGACTACTAGTGATAATCGTTTATCACCGAAATATTTTGCCGATCGTTGATGATAATAATATTTAATAACTTAATATCGTCATTATGCTGGTTTTCCAGTAAACGGACAAAATATAAACAAAACACAAACTTGTGTCGAATAAAACAAAACTGGAACTTTTCGCAAACATTTTGAAGACCGACGTGTTTCGCGACAGTTAGAGTTTTGTTTTTCATGTCCCGCTCGGAAGCGGTAACATCAAAAAGTTTCGATGTGTTTTAAAACTCGAGTCTGTTTAGTGGAAACGGTCGTATTGTGTCTGAAAACAAATTACGAATTTACGAAATCTGAATACGAATTCTGTACTTAGACTATACTAGACTAATACTAGACTAAGTAAGTAAACGAAAGTAATAATGTAGTAATATAATAGTAATATAATTAATTTAAATAATTTGGTGTGTAGCCATTGTTGTAAAGTATTTGAGTAAAAGTATTTGAATAAATGTATTCATTATTATATATATATATATATATTATTATTATGCTTAATAGTTAAATAATTATAATAATAATAAATAAAAACTCGTAACAACCAGTGGAAAAGGATCGAATACAAAAACCAAACTCGAACAAAATGAAGCCCGTTTGATGGAAACAAAAGTTTTGATTTTGTTTCAATTTTGTTTTTGTTTATCAGGTTGTTAGAGTCAAGACTCAGACACAACATAAAAACAACTGTCTGTTTAGTAAAAAATCAGCATTAGACGGATTAAAAATTTTTATTTAGTTTTGTAATCCATAGGAGTTGATAAAGATTATTTCAAACTGTAAATTGGACGGTATAGTGGTAAAAAAAAATGATTAATAACGCATTATTGAAACACTAATAAATTTGTTCATCGAAGCAAATTCAATTAATACTGAATAAATAACATGTAAGTCAATTTTGATGCAAATAACAAATTATTTTATTATGGTCAAAACTAATACACAGTATGGGCATACATTCTATCACATAATGTTACAGATATATATATATATAAATGCTATAACAATTTGCATTACAATAATACAATTGTTGCGTAATTAGATAATAACAATGACAATTTTAGATGAATATCACAACCACACCCGTGGATAATTTAAATATTATGGTTACTTATGGAATCATAAGTAGATTACATAGTCATTTTATACAGAAAATCTAAAATAAGAAATATACAATCAAAGCAATAGTGACCACATCCTTGCATCATTAATTATGAGCTGGACGGGAAATAGCACACACACTTGCGTCTATCGGATATATAAAGTAATCCTGAATATGCCCTGGAGGAGACGTGTTTTAGTCTGACTATAGCAAGCACCTTCACACCAGTTTAATTATCAATTTAAATAAATACTTGTACTTAGAAATATCTCAATAAAAAGTTTAACTTAGTTTGAGTACTTTTATTGGAATTATCCTAACAAACATCCTCATGTGAACTGTTGAATTCACTGTATGCAACAATACCAATTTTCTTTATCTCCTTCACTTTTTCCCCAACTAGTTAGGGTCTGCCACCCTTGTCCTAAACCTTCAGTTGTCTCGATTTTCTACATGCCCTACACCAACAACCCTCATTGTTCATTTTCATAACAACTCTTATTGCATTTGTTTCCTTTTGTTTCATCATAAACCCAAACCATCTCAGTCTATTTTCTCTCATCTTGTCTACTATAGATGCTACTCCAATACTACTTCTGACATATTCGTTCCTTATTTTCTTACCTAACCCGCAATATATATTATAAACATATGGTTTTACATTTTCAATGTTTGAAGTTTTAGATAAAATTCCATACATTTTGTAAACAATCCCAACCATAAATATTTGTGCGTTTTGTAATTTATTAAAATATCATAGTAGTAAATTGCTCTAAGATTCACATTTTAAAAAAAAAAAAGAAAACTAGTTACTAAACCCTTAAATTTTTAATAAAAAGTTAATTTTCATGCAGACACAATAAATTACTAGAAAATAAGAAACCATTTTTTAAAACAGCTTCATGATTAAAATGGTATAGTAGTGTGATAAACAGTGATTATTTATTAAAGTGATTAAATGGATAGAGTAAGATGCTATCTACAACATCACGTTTTTCAAACCATTTTTTTTTTTAATTCATGTGATGGAATAAATTATGTTACTAAGATAGTTATGGAGTACTGCACTTGACAGTAGTAGTTAAATAATACAATTAATATTTATAGTTTAATTAATTTTTTCTAAAATAAAAAAATAAACAACATCAGTATATTTATTAAGGGGGCGCCACAGTGGTCTGAATCGTTATTTTAGCTTGCAAAAACTAATTTTAGAAAACATGAAAAATACGTATTTAACTATCAAAATAAAATTGTATACCACTTTATTGAAACTTATATAGAACATTTGATTAGATAAAATGACCCATATTTATGTACGATGCGATAATATCGTTAAAATAGTATCAAAACTCGTACAAACCGTCATCGCGATGCGTCGGTTGCATGCGTGTTAGTTTTACTCGTATCGTGAGTATTATACGTATAACAAAATTTTTTTTAATTTTTAAAACACAATGGACATCGTTCCCTCACATAAATATTAATATCAATATATTTATTCTTATATTTTAGATATTTACTGAACAAATATAATATAAGGTTTTTTACGTATTTTTTTTTTTTAAGACAATTACTTTTTAGTTTCCGAAAGTTTCTCGTCCAAATTACAAAAATATTATAGTACTAATGGTCAGCTTTAATGCTATCTTAATTTCATTTGCGTTTACTTGCGTCTCTATTTTTAAACGATTTAAATGTTCTGATGAAAATACAATTTTTTGGTATTCTTTACAACACTTGTGACGATGACGTGTACAATGTTATATTATATATTTTGGGCCATAATTTTTATTTGAGAAACGACAAATTAATGTATCAAAAAACTACTGAAATGTTAAAATAAATTTAGCTAAATTATTTTTAAACTAAGTGGAATATTACAGACTATACATTTTATACATAATCGTAGAAAAAAAATATCTTAATCAATTGCATTTTGGTATACTCATACACATTGTACCTTATGTGGGTGGATAGGTAATTAAAGTTTTATAATAATATTGTATATTTTTAAATAGCAGGAAGTAGTAGTGTTAAGCGGAATTTTTCACACAATGATCTTGTAAGTTTGATTCGTGGTGATAAAATATTTCGTCCTACAAGTGTAAAATCAATTCTCATTATTTTTAAAAAAATTCGGGAAAACTATTCTGGGAATACATATTGGTCGAAAGAATATGAACTGTTGGTTCGAACCAAAGTCAAAAACTTTGGTGTAGCGGTATCAAAAAAATGGAACGCATGCTATAGAAATTATAAAAAATTTGAATCTAAAAACCAAATTTGGCTACAAACTGAATTTGAGATGCCTGCAACAAAAACTTTTAAAGGTGGATGACCTTTGAAAAATTTTTCCGAATGTACGGAAAGAAGTAAAAAGTTTAAAGTTTTATCTCTAACAAAATCACATACCTCACCTGAATTAAGATATGCCCTTTCAACAAAATATCAAAACTCAGGGAAAATATGTGCTGCTTCTCTTTTAAATCAATTTACTACAACCCCAACAAGAGATAAAAAAATAAAGAGTGTATTAAAAGAAAAAAATTGTGAAAGATTACCCGTTGCATATACTCCAGACGAAGCTTTAGCTTTTCTTATTGAAAATGGTTTGACTAAACAGCAATACATAAATATCAGACTTGGTGCTATACAAAAAAATTGTAAAATTTATCCAAGTTATGAAAATGTTATTGAAGCTAAGAAACGCTGTTACCCGGATAACTTGCATGTTACAGAAACTAGCTGCAAAATTCCAATGCAAGACCTTTTAAACCACACCACAAAACGTATTTGTTCACTTCCTCAAGTAAAGTTAGAAAATGAAATGACAAATTTGGAAATGCTGTATAAGTGGGGATGTGACGGCAGTAGTGGTCAGTCGATGTATAGAATGAAATTCAATGATTCGACAACAGAAAATGATAGCACTGTGTTTATATTTTCACTAGTACCACTTCTACTTCGCTGTTCAATTAGTGACGAAAATGTGGTTTTGTGGAAAAATGTACGACCTTCGTCTACACATTTTTATCGTCCAATAAAATTTTTGTATGAAAGGGAAACAATAGAAAGTACGAAGAGAGAAGTAAATACCATCGAATCAGAGTTGAAAAATATATTTCCAACAGATATTTTATTAGAAGACAATAATTTACTCAAAATAAAACATACTTTGATATTTTCGATGATTGATGGAAAGGTAAACATTTTACATAAATACAAAATTAATTTAGATTTTTAAAGTTTTAATGATTTTTTTTAGGTATGTAATTCAATGACGAGTACATCTAGCCAATCGTGTTACATATGTGAATGTAAACCTAAAAACTTTAATGACATCGATAAAGTGATAAAGATACCGACAAACCCAGATAATTTTAAGTTTGGATTGTCCACTCTTCACGCATGGATAAGATTTTTAGAATGTATTTTACACATATCCTACCGGTTACCATTTAAAACATGGAAGGTAATTATAAAAAAATATATATTCATAAATGTATAATACAATTTTATTTTAAATAATTTGTAATCTTTAGGTAAAGTCGGATTCAAATAAAACTGTGATGGAACACCGAAAAAAAGAAATTCAGGGCCGATTTAAATCCGAAATGGGTTTATTAGTTGATATTGTACTACAAGGTAATATTTTGACCATTTGAATAAATAAACAAAAAATATATAAATTAAAGGTACCTACTTTATTTGTTTAAGGTCACAGTACAACAAATGATGGGAATACATCTCGAAGATTTTTTAGGGAACCAGAGAAATCATCAGATATCACCGGGATTGACATAAACTTAATAAAAAGATTTTAAACCATTTTAGTAGTTATGGCAAGTGGAAAAGAAATAGATGTGGATGCGTTTGAAATTTATGGAATAGAGACAGCAAGACTCTTTGTTAAGCTATACCCATGGTACTACATGCCAAATAGTGTCTTTAAAATCTTACTGTACAGGGCTGACGTTATTCGACATGCACTTCTTCCAATTAGTTAGTATTTTATTTAGATTCATCGTATAAACGTATTTTTAAAGGATATTTTTTCCTTAGGACAACTTTCAGAAGAAGCGCAAGAGTGTAGAAATAAAGATTTCAAGAACTACAGGCAACATCATACACGTAAGAACTCGAGGACAAACAACAATATGGATCTAGTTCATAAATTACTATATTGTGTCAACATTACAAACATATTATTCAAAAACTGAACTTCCTTTAGCAGATGATGCTAAATCTCTATGAAAATGTGACGATTTCAATTGTGATTCGGACAATTCAGATACTAATCTAAATATGGCAAATGTATCGTTTTCTTCAATACACCTTAATGATTAGTACAAATTAAATAATCATGAATAAATAAAAATAATAATAATGAATTAAAAAATAAATTATTTTTTTCACTTTAGGTTAAGCAGCATAACTACATTAATTTAAGTCTAATTTGAAAATTTTATTTTAAATACAAAAATTAGCCCCCCTTCCCCCCTAATTAATGGTCCAATTTTAAAATGGATGACAAATTTTGATTCAGCATTTCCAATTATGTAAGGTTAGATAATTTACAAAATCATCTAAATTAAAACAAAAGTGGTATTAGTTTTTGCAAGCTAAAATAACGATTCAGACCACTGTGGGGCGTCACATTTATTGTCTACGTCCTATAAACAACATTGCCAATCTTAATTCAATAGAACCAATTTTTTGTTGCCACATTACATATAATAATAATTAAATATTAAACCGACTTATCATGATACTTAAAGAGAAAAATATTATCTTTGCGATGGTTGGTTTTTATTTTTTACTTTTAAGTTAGTTATGAACTCTTTAAGTAGTATATTTTACATTATCATACCTCCCTTTAAACTTAAAATATCTTTAAGAACTTATGCCATTGCTCTGTTATTGTTCTTTTTTTAAGTTTGATAATAGGTCTGTTCTTTCTAATATTAAAATTGATAACATAAAATTGATTCTTTATAACGATTTACTATAAAGTATGTTTGTAAGACGAAAACAACAAATAATGGAGTGGCCACTACATAATTACAAATCGTTTCCATACATTTTTAATTCCATTTAATTTTACTAAATAATAAAAATAAATGTTTATACACTTATCAAAAAATAATTATATTAATATTAATAAAACAAATGTATAATACTTTGGTATTTAATATTTCACTTTTAATTTAATGATAATTTCAAATGCATAAATTCTAAACAAAAAAATGAGAAATTCCATTTATGAATATAAAACATAATTCACTTAAATACAAATATAAATATAATACTATATATAGTTCATCAACTAAGTAAAACTGTTAATGCATCAAAAAATCTTGGCCGGTCTTTAATTTGCATTTTAGCAATAGATGAATCAAAATAATCAAATGAAACATCCGTATTTGTTTTTCTAGCCACTTGTTCAAATGCTTTTCCAAAGAAACTGAAACATTCAAATTATTAAATATAGGCTATAAATCAAACTTTTAAATACAAAATGATGGTAAACTTAAATGTTAGTTGATTAATAATTCAAACTATCAATATTTTTTAATACAATTTAATCAACCTTTTAGGCAATGATTCTGTAATTGGAGGAATACCAACTACTACACAAGAATCTTGACTTAAATCTAGAACTGCTGAAGCAATTAAGGGTAAGTGAGTGATTCTATTTCTAGGCGATGATGCAATTTGAGCCCTCAATGCGAATGAAGCTAACATAGTTAATAAATGAGGGTTGGAATAATGTTGTGAATTTAGAGTTCCCTGTAACAATTCATAAATTATGTACATAATTAATTTAAAATATAAAATAATTAACAAACAGTATAATTATATATTTTTTTTACCTCTTGAATAATTAGGTAATAAAATGGTCCAGCTAATATCACTTGTTTCATATCTAATACAGCTTGAATATGTTTAAACATATTAGTTAATATCCATTTGGCTTTTTCTATTCCTTCATCTAATAAATTGTTTTTGGATCTATGCAAATTGATTTCAATATCATAATTTTTTATGATTAAAATAACTGTAATTCAATTTCCTCATACTTATTGATACTTACTGTGATAATAAATCCATTGTATTATAAAAACATTCAATAGGTGACTTTTCGTGAGACTAAATTTTTTATTAAATTGTTATTTTGATTTAGAATAGTATAATATACTAGGTGTTGATACTTACATTACTTTCCAATGTAGCTATCATTGAATACACATAATCAGCACATTGGTACTTGGTTTTAAATCCTTTTTGCAATATAAAAGAAGGATAAGTTATTTGTAACAAATTATGGGTATTTGAAATTTTTTCTATCATGCCAAAAAATTGTTTACGTAAATTTAAATCCATGGAACGATACATTTGACGACTTTCTGACAATGGTAATCTTTAAAAATTAAAATAACATTATATTTAAATGAAACATGCATAACAATTATAAATATTATCTAATAAACTATTTAAATCAATGTTCTTAAAATGTAATTGTTTAAAAATAATAATCACCCCATCTCAGCCAAAATTTGTTTCAATCGTTTCTCGCCTTTAACTGTCCATAGTTTCAAAGATACAGCAGTAAACATAGAGTATCGAATACTAGACTCAATTGTCCAATGTCTATATAAAGCTAATAATAAACTGAAAAATATAATTGTATTATTTTTAATTTCTGTAAAAATAAAAATTTTCCATCTAAAATGTATTACTCTTTTTCAGATTCAATTCTTGAATTTCTAGAATCATTTGGAGGATTAGAAATAGATTGTGACATACAGTTCAAATCATTAACAGCAGACTCACAAATACGACCAATGTGATCACCTATTAACTCAACTTCTTTTAAATAACGCATATTCTCAGTTTTACCTAAAATGTATTGTTCAGTGACACCAATAATACCCCACCTATCATAGATAATAAAAATAGAAAATAACAAATGTATACTATAAAACATTTAAATAATTATTAGAGTATTTAACTTACCATAGTAAATCAATAGACTCTCTGTGTAATTTCCAAGCAAGATCATACATTAATATAGCAGTCTAAAAATAAAAATAAATAAATTATAGAGTAAATAAATTTGTATGGTTGTTAAAAATAAAAAACTAACTGAACGCCCATAATATGAAAATTGAGTATAATCAAATAAAAAGGTTTTCCTTTTTTCTTCCCAATTTCTTCTTTTATTTCTTTTTATAAATGCGTTTTGATGATTTATTCTACTTTTATTTTGAAGTTCCTCAACAGTATCATTATTTGAGTCATCATTAAGTTCATCAGTATCTTCTTCTAATGACTAAACAGAAATTAAATAAATTGTAAATCATTGCAAGAATTTACTTAAAAATTTAATATAAGTTACCTCATTATCAACAAATACATCTTCGAATTCTGGGATTTTTTCATCCTCTTCAGGAATAGTAAGAATTTGTATCTATAGTATGTGAAAATTTTTTAAAAATAATACCAGTTATGAAAGAAAATATTACTTGTCTACTGCTGTAAATGTTACAAATATCAGTTGGTCTATGACTGTCTGATACAAAAAATATTACATCTTCTTCTGGTTCTAAAATATCTATTATATCTAATGTACCACCACAGTTGATTAATATAATATGTTTAACCTAAAAATAATTATAATAGCTACTATAAAATACTTAATTTAAAATAAAATTTAATATTAATACATCAACTTTTTGCTCATCGTATACTTTTTTCAATTCAGTAACTGTTTTTATGGGTACAAGTACATAAACAATATTGTCATAACGTAATATATATTGAAGTATTTTTGCAGCACAAATTGCATCGACATCATAGTTCACCAAGATTAAAATTTTCTAAATATAAATAAAATATATATTATAAAACAACTATCATTTTTCTTACTAAAATTAGTAGTTCAAAATACATATACATTTTAAAAATAAACTAATCGTACCACAATATAAAAAAAGTTTTATTAGTTGTGACAAAAATTTTCTGTTGTAATCATAATACATCAATTATATACCAGCAGTGGGTATTTTCATGGGGGATTTCCAGGTCTCGACCTCTTCCAGAGGAAAAAAGGTTCAAAAGACAAAATGACTTACTATAAAGGTACAGAGAAAGAAAATAATTTATATCATGTAGTTTTAAATAATTCTTCATTTGTATTTATAATAATATAATTATTAATTCATACATTATATTTATTTTATAATATATTATATTATAAAATCACTTATTTTTTTAAAAAAATTTAAGCTCCCCCCACAAAAAAATTGAAAATTTACCACTGTGTACTGGTACTTAATTACAATAGCATATAATAGGAAAATGTTGACAAATTGCAACTTTATTTCACATTGAAATAACAAAATGATAGTTACAGTATAATAATTATCTTTGATAAATAAAATTATTATAATATATTCTTACAATTACCAATCTATTGTACTGAGATTATAATTTTTTTTTTAAAAAAAAAAAATTTTAGGTATCGTTATCCATAATTAATTAAAAAAATTATTTATTTCTACAGTGATCAGAAGAAAACAGAAAGTTCTAGGCGTGATTGAATTGTATCCATCACTATCGCCATTTCTAGAGTGAAGTAATACAGAATCTAAGAATAATAACAGCTTGATGGACTATGTCAGTGCTTCTCAAGCTGGGAGCCCTGGACCTCTAGACATCTAGAGGGCCATCGCTATATTACTGCAAGGCCGTAAAATATTTATTTTATCTTAACTATTTTCTTTAGGCCTTAATTTGTTAGTACTTATACTTCTATGACGTTTAATACTATAATAAAGTTTTTTCAAAAGTATATTAAAAAAACATTAATTTACTATGCATATTTACAGTTAATCTGTGTGAAATAGTACACATCATTTTAATATAAAGAATGGAATAGATAATTAAAACATTTTTATTGAGAGAGTTTTGACATTTTTACATTAAATGCAGGAAGCCCCATGATAAAAAAGTTTGAGAAGTATCGCACTACGTATTATAATTTTAGGTTGCGTTCGTAATGATCTCGATGTTCGCCAAAAGTAATTGCGATACAACACGAGTATTGAGTTTTCCGATCGAATACGGATTACGCCTAGGTAGGTACGTAGTTTAGATAAGGAACGGAGGAACGATCGCTTCCCAATAACATAATCGTATTGCAGTAACAACGAATTAAGATGTACTATATATATATATATATATATACCACTTTATTGCACATCGTTTAAGCTCCAACCGTTTTGAATAAGGGGAAATCCCTACGCCAAAAGAATAAGCACCTTTTCACGTGCCCGATTTACAACGTGCACGTGTACGAAACACGATTCAGCAGTGAGTACGAACAAAAATGATAACAGTTTTTCAATAAAAAAAAAAAAAACTTACGTTGTTCAAAATCACATCGTAAAACCCTTTAACCAAATCGTCGACGAACATCGTCGCGCACCGTAGGTACTATATATACATATCACTTGGCGAACCAGTAAATCGTACCTCCGCCGTCAATGTATTTCGCCAACGGGTCAGACCAGGACGAGTTCAAAACAAAATTACTCGTAAAAAAGCGCGTTACTTGTGTTGCGAGAACGACACGGCAAACAGCGGACCGAAAACTGTCCCGGTCGATTCGAACGCTTTCGGGGGAAAAACGTCGATGGCCTCCGGTTCCCGCCGTGTAGCCGAACTCGTTTTTATCGCGGTGATGGTTGGCGGGTCCGGTGCGCGGTGTAGGTACACGATCGCCGGCGGCTAATATACGCGTTTTTGCGTTCCCGAATCGCGAAAACCGTCGCCCGGAATACAACGCGAACGCGATCGGTCCGATAATGATATACCTCTTATCGCGCACGGGACGACTAGCGTTTTTCAATTCCTAGTTTTTTTCTATTTTTGTTGTTCCGTTATCGTCGTTTTCTCAGTCTTCGCGACATAACTCTCAATTCAAACAATTCCGCAACAGTGATTAATATTTACGTGCATCCATAAGCGTATTTAGACTTATTTCTAGGGGGAGGGGCGACTCAAATTTTTTCTTTTCAAATTCAAGCTCAAAATTTACAAGTAAAATTTTTGGTAATATTTAAATCAGGTGAATCTTTAATATTTATGGTTTTTTTTTTTAATCTAATGCCGGATCCACTTAGAATGGATTTTTGTTTAGTTATTTTAACATCTATCTGTGTTTTGAAAGTTTCGCTTGATTTTTATTTGATTTTTCGCCAAGTATAGACTTAAAAGTAGGGCTTAAATCAAAATAATATAAACTGTTTACCGTTTGGGACATTTAAACGTTTATAAGTAAAGAGCGGATTTAATTGATATTGCAACTTTTTATTGATACCCAGTAAATCAATTCTGATCAAACATGTATACGAATCAGATTAATTACAGTCTTTCTATTTAATTTAATAATGCAATTTTTTGCAATTTTTGTATACTCCACATGATAAAATATACAAATTATTATTTCCAAAGTGATTTTACAAAAAAAAAATATAACTACGACGTAAATTTTTACATGTTAATCAGTTTAATGTCTGAAAAAGTGAAAAGTAATATTTTGACTATGGTAAAAGACGTTAAGTATTACTTTATTATTTTGGATTGCACACTCCTGATTGTAGCCATAGAAAACAAATGTCAATAATACTGCGGCTTGTTTTTACTACAACAGGTGATGTGCACGAACATCTCATTAGGTTTATTGAAATTTTTGATAAGACGGGAGCTGAATTAAGTGAGCGAATAATAAAAGAGCTTAGGGATTTGAAAATAAATATAAATGACATGCGTGGTCAGAGCTACGATAATGGCTCAAATATGAGAGGAAAACAAAATGGTATTCAAAAACGTATATTAAACATTAATCCTCGTGCGTTTTATGTACCTTGTAATTCCTATTCATTGAACTTGGTTATAAATGACGCAGCGAAATGCAATGTGGATGCAATTTCATTTTATGGCATTGTTCAGAAACTCTATGTTTTTTTTCAGATACTGATAAATGGAAAGTTTTACTACAATTTTTGCCAAAATTAACACTAAAAAGAGTGTGTGATACACGATGAGAATCAAGAATTGATGCAATAAGGCCAATACGGCATCAATTTGGAGAAATATATGATGCTTTGTTTCATATTAAAGAAGATTTGAATTTAACTGGTTCATATGGTCTGCAGACAAAATCTAATTCATGTACTCTCTTAAAAAATATCTGTGACTTTAAATTTATATCCTCTGTCATTGATTGGTACTATATATTGTGTTGCGTGCGGCCGTTCAATCGTAGTGATGTTGATGATTTAGGAATATTCCAAATAAAATACTCAAACTAAGTTAAATAGTTTATTGAAAAATAGTACAAGTAATTTTATAAATTAGACAATGATATGACGTGGAGGTGCTCGCTAAAACTCGTATAAGACACATCTGAATAATAGACTGTTCGGGACTACCTTATATACCCCATTTTTATGGGATATTTGACCCGGATATAGTTTGATATTATTATTAATATTCTAGACCCCCTTCGAAAAGTATCTACTATCCAATTTTATACCTTATAAGGATATATTGTTTCGGTTATTACAAACATTGGTTGATACCAATTTTATTACCTTGTAACGGCACGTCCTGATGTTTCGGTTTTTACTACAATGCCAATTATTTGTATGTGACTCCTCTGTAATATTTGGGTATTCACAAGGACATATATTATATATGTTCACCACGTAGATATCATGGTGTTTTCACATATGATGTAATTTGTAATTGCGAATTCAATAATGTATATTATAATGTAAGCCCCAATGCTATTTATGTGAACCTCCTTATGTATTGGTGATCAAAAGGACCAACATTTATGTATGTCCGTAACAATTGAGTGCTGTTAACCCAATAAGTAAACAATTGCAATCTATAGATTATGATATACAAATGGCCCTTAAAAGTGTATCAAGTATTGTAGAGTTTAAGAGTTTAAAAATACCGTCAAAATGGGTTTTCCAAAGTTAAAATAGCTGTAAAAAAAATTGCTCTATTAATAGAAATACCAGGACAATTTCCCGAATAATATCAAGTACGTAAATGACAAAAAAAAAACATATTTCAGCTATGAAAACAGAGATGAAACGCCTCTTCATAATCCAGAAAAGAAATTTAAAGTAGTTTTTCCACACAATAATAGACACAGCCATTAATTCTATGCGAGAAAGATTTAATCTGTTAAACCACCATTGTTTAAATTTTGGATTCTTATACAATATTAACTTATTAAAAAACTGGGAGCACGAAACATTATTAAATCATTGCAAAGATTTAGCTATTTTATTATCAATAAAAGAAACATCCGATATTAACGCAATAGAACTATTTGAAGAATTAAAAATATTTTGTCAACTTGCCGAACCAAATAGTTCTCCCAACAAAAATCTTGAGCTTATTTATAATAAAAAATTAGAAGAGATTTACCCTAATATTACGATTAGTTTGAGAATCGTTCTAACGATTCCGGTCACTATAGCGTCAGCTGAGAGGAGTTTTTCTAAGTTGAAACTTATTAAAAACCACCTCAGATCAACCATGAACAATGAAAGGTTAACCGGGTTAGCATTATTATCCATTGAGTCCGACTTGGCGCAAGAATTGGATTTAGAAGACATCGTTCAAGACTGCTTCAAAAAAAGCAAGGAAAGTTAATTTTTAGTTTAGTACACTTCTGTGGACTGTAAATTGTAAACATTAACTCAAGTTGAAGTACATATTTATAATAACTATTTTATTAATATTATAACTTTATAAGATTATTATTTTTATCATTATAGGTACCTATAAGACGTTTATTAATTTATGGAAATAATAATATTGCATTAACTTTTTAAAATTTATTAAATACAATAATAATTTAAAATTCAATTTATAAAATATTATTCATTATATTAGTAATATGATAAAATTGTATACTGTAATATATTTAGCTTTTGATTGAAAGGGGCGGCATTACGTTTGCTGAAGGGCGGAAAATTTCTTGCGACGAGCCTGACTAAGGGGACATTAGCCCCCCCCCTTGGGACTAAGCTATTTATTTTACAAAGCAAAGTATTATTATATATTAATAATTATATTAAAATATCATCAATGGTCATTAATGAATATGGTACCTATTTCATATATATTTTTTATAAATAAATAGCTCATTTTTGTTGTTAATTATATGTATTTACTTATATTTTAAAATGGTTTTAGATTAAAATTGATACCAATAATGTAACTTTTTAAACTTTGTCATTATTGTGAAAAAAATGACTTACTTACGAGGGGTTCAAAAACATATTCTGTAATTTAAAATTTTATATAGATTTAAAAAACCAACTAAATTCTTAAACTTCCATTAGCTCTTCCTTTGGTTAATGATAAAACCCGCCCCTGACGAGTGTATGAGCAGTAATCGAGCATTTTTCACTCGATTATTTCAACTGGTTTCGATACCGAATCACTCGGTTATTTCCAAAACAATCGAGAACAATCGAGTATTTCGACTATTTTCTCTTGATTGTTCCCATCACTAGTATAAACGCATAAAACCAATAAGAATATTATCACTTCCATAAATTTTAATACATTTTGTAATTATTGAGTGATTAAGAATTATGTGATAACTAACACTCACAAATAGTTAAATTCTTAAATTATATTATAAGACTAGTAATTAGAAAACATAATATTAAGGCGTCCGGTGCCAATGTCGATTTATTCTCAAAATTTTACTCTACGGAAACAGTGATCCTGTCCCGTATAATCAACCAAATTGATATTTTTTTTTTTTACATTAATAGAGAGAAACATTCTACACCCATCCAATTGTTCATTTAATCATTATAAGTAATACCTCGCAAACCGTGGGTCGCGGCACATCGTATTCCGCGTATTGATATCCAATATGAGTATAAAAATAAATAATGTAATATTTTATTTTCAATTATCATTCCGCGACGCGACGTTTTCGGGCTTATAAACACGTGTATACATAGGACTGTGCGATTGTTTCGATTAATCGATTCTTACACCAATTAATCGGCTGATTGTTTTTCCACCTAGTATTCACAGCATTAATCGGTTAAGGCTATAGATGCGAATTCTGACAAAAATGTGTTCTGACGAGTACGCCCGAAATCTTCGTCAGAACACAAGATGGTTACACTGTGCGGGTTTTCTGATATTCTGACAGTATATTTCTGCCACCCAGCAAAGATGGACGAACTTGATGAATTTATGTTCTCGAAAGTCCGTTAATGAAGTTATCATTGTTAAATGGTGAAAAAACAGAGCAAGTTAACCAGTTATTTTCTAGAAGAGAAATATCTCTATTATGGTAATATTTTTCTCTCGTGTCCCTCAAACACCTGTTCTCGTACACGAGACTGATTAATTTATCGGAATCCATAATTCAAATAAATTAATATATTAATAAATTGTATAATAATTGTAAAATATCAAATTTGCTAATCTCAATCACATCGAAATAGACGCAGTTCTCACGAAAAAATTAAACTTGTTTGAACACTCAACTGTTTCTGACGATATCGTGTATGTTCTGACGTGATCGTCGCTGCCAATGTAAACACTCTCATTGGAAAATATGTGTTTGTTTAGACGAATTCGTCAGAACACATTTTCGTCAGAATCTGTATCCATAGTAACCATAGCCTAACCGACCAGAATCGTAATCAATGTAACCATAAATTATTCGATTTCATACTTAAACGGCTAAACATAATAATACGAAAAAAAGAACCGAACGGGAACTCGCTCTGAACGAAGATGATTTGTTCGTCTAGAACAGGGGTGGGCAACTAGCCTATTTTATCATAGAATTAGTTATAATAATTTATTACTTTTTATTAATAAATAAAAATATTATACATTAATATAAATAATTTAAATTAGATGAAAACTTTAAAAAAATTAAAATTTAACCTTTTTTTACCAATATTTTTTTCACTATTTAAAATAGGAACTAAAAAAATTGGAGTTCAATGCCTAACCTGTATAATATTGTTGTTTATCAATTAAAAAAAAAAAATTTATAAAAATATTGAATTTACAATGAGTGATCACTATTTCCGTGAAGTAATATTTTCGTCCGTTTATTAACTGTCATTGATAAAATAATAATAGTTATACATTTTAATAAATATGTAAAATTTCAGTAAAAATATATAAATAATATTTAATATAATTGTCAATTTATGTCAAATAAAAAGAATGGCAATCAAAAAAATCAAAAGATGTCAATAAAAAAACCATTTTTATCGAAATATCTTCGGGTTCACTATTTCTTCCAACATGAAATTTTTATAAAAATCAATAATTTGATTTTCCATTTTGTTCTTCCAAAACTCAGTATCGCGTTCAATTTTTTCAATAAAAATTTCTGTAAAAAGTGTATTAATATTATTTTATATAATTTAAAAATAGTAATTACTGATTTTTATAAAGATATATTTTAGTATCAGTTTTAGTATTATATAAATATATACATTTATAGTAAAAATTATAAAATAATTATATAAATATATATAAAATATAAATTATAAAATAAACTATAATAATACATACCTTTTGGAGTCCATACTACAAAATAGCAATAATGTTTATTGGCTACCCTAAGTTGACCCTGAACTTGGTATTAATAATTATCGCCTCTTTTCAATTTTATATTTCCATCTTGATCAATTGCAAGGAATTTTTTTTAGCCATTACTCTTGCTTTTGGCGTCATATCCATAATATTATAAGGACATTTAATTTCCACTATACCATTATCTCCCACCAATCCGCCAGGTGAACCAGCCAAAAAATTTAACTCTGGATCAATAAATAGACCAGCTGGTAAAACTTTTAAATTATATATTTTTTCAAATTGGTCTTTAGCAATTGGTTCGTGTTGTATTCTATAACTAAAAACAATTTTGCATTTTAATAATTTATTAATTATATTAATAACAATCTACGCCATTGCATGTGTTTTTGGTGTAAATAATTCGGTGTATAAAATATATTTAATTGTATTTGTTCTTGGGGTATTATTCCTTAATTTACATATTCTACCAAAATTTGAAGCAGTAAGGCGGTGTTTTCTTTTTCTATGCCAATCATCGCTTTTAGCTTGGTCAATTGTTTTTCTCTCTAGTTTATTTTTCTCCTGTTAACTTAGTTTTAAACTATTTAAAATATTAAGTTTTCTTAGATCAGAATCTTCTTCGGACATTGGCAAATTAGCGCAACCCAGTTCATCGTATAGATCACCGTAGTCTTTATCAGACCCAGAAAATGATTTTAGTTAATTCGTTTGTGAGCTAAATGTCATTATTATCATATTTTACATACCAACATCAGTTAATTAATAGGTAATTTAAAAATAAATCAAATAATTTAAAATTTTATCAACCTGGTAGATGGGCCGAAGTATAGTTTAAATTTTAATTTCTTCTGCCTAAATAATTTTTCTCTTTCCAATTTTTTAATGTATAATTTAGTAAATTTTCCTGGACTTTCTTTAGTAGCTGTTTTATGCAGTCTACATATGTAATCAGAACCAAAGTTAAACGACGATACCGCCGTCATACATCTTGTATTATAAGAACCTATATACAAATATAAATGCACATTGCACATATATATTATATTTTGAATATATCAAATACAGATTATATTATATATTATATAATAATTACCTCTCAAAGAATAATTTACTCTTTTTCCACCAACGAACTTGGAAACTACATTGTTGTAACATTCTACATAATTGTTATTCAAATCGTAAATTAGGCTATCCGCTTGGTATACCACTAAAATTTTGGCTGCAGATATCAGCAGATCTTGCCATAACGCACATTTCTCCATTTCCGGAACATAGTTCTGGATATTGTGTTCAGCATTACAAAAGTATTTGAAAACAATTTTTATAATTTAAAATAAAAGTTCTTCTAATGCAAATAAATTGTGAACATATTTTTCCTGACGGGTCATATTCGTCGTGTGAGCCAAATACATGGTATGGTCCATTTTCAATGTCCCTTTTTAAAAATGCAAACTTTTGATTTATGGTTAGATTTTTTGCATTTTTCCAATGGTCAATAGCTTTAGTAATACCATATCTAAACGATTAAATTAATTTAGTAAATAATAATTAGTAATAATTATTAGGTATAAATTAAATTATGTAAATATATTACCTCAGTCTAAATGTATTATCTTTTAATATTTTTCTTAGAATGGCTGGAACAACTGTACCACTGGAAGATTTTCTTTTTCCTGCTATGTCATTTATTCGATTCATGTAATTTCGTGATATATGATTTTTACATTCAATATTTTTATTTGAAAATTTGGACCATAAGGTTTTGACATGCTCAACTTTTTTGAAATCACCATCACCAATTAGTTTGTGGTAAATTAAATTGTGCATGGTAATACTTTGATTGAACCCCTCAAGAATAATATCCGACTCCATAGAAGTCGATGTACCATCCCAATTTTTAAAACACCGGTGGCTTATAGTCGATGCTTGGGAGTCCTTTTGAATTTTTACACATATCGAACTATATTTGTTTCAGATTTCCAAAAAAAAAGACTTTTTTAGTTTTAGCTCAAACTATACAAACCTAAATTAAAAATATAACTGATACATGGGCTACGTTAAAAAATTATTATTGATGTATAATTTTTAAATAAAATATTTTAAAATCGTAAATATATTTGCACATTTTAAAACATAATACCCCTGATAAAATATTTCTTTTTGTACTATTATTATTTTATTTACATTGATGTTATAAGAATATTTAGAAATAATGGATAGTTTTTAATTCATTTTTCATACTTACAACACCAGATAAGGCATTATAATTTGTCCTATAACTCCTTTTAGACCAAGCGCCGTCGGCTATTACAGTAATCATAGGCACCCCATTTTCATTTATATCGCCGTTTTCAATAGCTATTTTAGCTTCCTCTTCCACTGCAGAAGACACGGATTCCCAAGCAGTATCATGTAAAACGTTCAATTTTTTCGTGCATTTTTTGATATAATTTATTGCTCATGTTTGGCATATTCAACAGAGCAGAGAAGATTTCTAACTGTGCAAAACCTTGACCCGAATTTACCATTGCTGTAACAGCTGCTGTATTAACGTCCATTAATACTGTAATTGCGTTCTCGGACTCTATTACTTCTTCTTTGCCGCAAATGTCACAATTGAACACAAATTCACTGTATAAACCATTTTTTTGCTCTTTGACAAAAACTAAATTTTTAAAACTGCACTCAAATGGTTGATGATTAATTTTAGACATTTTTTCAAAAAAATATGCAATATTAATTATGCGTCGGCCTTCTAAAATTTATCTAAAAAAATTATATTATAAAATAAATTAAATTATTTAAAATAATTGAAATTTTAATAATTTATCTAGCACAAAAAAAAAAAAATCAAAATATTTTAAAAATTATATCATCTTAAGAAAACACTGATAATAACATTTAGTAAAAACTTCAAGTATCTTTGATTATTATTATAATGAGTCATAACAGAAAATATTGTAGATAATAATTGTAAAAAAATGTAATTTAAAAAAAAATTATTAATTACTTTTTTTTCAATATTTGAGCAAGTTTCATACATTTTTTCTGCGAATCCGTGACTGGTTGAGGGTACTAAGTTATCGACAATTAAATTACTTGTATTATTTTTTTTTAAGTTCCCTGTTCAAATGGGGTGGACAAGCATGTTACTCCACATGAATTATCTGTTATCAACTTACTAAAACTAAATGTATAATTTATAAATTCACTAATATCAGTTTAATAATTATCAATATTTTGACTCTGTATTATAATTTTTTCTTTTCCTTCTCCCTTGGCCACCTTTGTCCTAAACCTCCACACATCCCGATTTTCTACATCCCCTATGCACACACCAACTCTGTATTATAATTTATATTATAAAAAGTATTTATCACTTACCGCGATTTGATTCTACCTTTTTATCTTCTAAAGGCTGACACGGTTTTACATTTTTTCCCATATTTTTTTTCCATTGTAATTTTCTCTTTAAAAAATAAAGTGAAATACAGTTATAACACAGAAAAGTGGGTATATATATATATGGTAAAATATGTTGGTGGTGTGTAAGTTACATATAAATCTTGGTTGCGAATCCAAGAGAAGACCAGATCATCCTCATAATACATATAACTATTATTGTTTAAAAACTTATCTCTTTAGTCGTAGGCAGGGCCGGATTAAAGGGTAGGCAAAATAAGCAATTGCTAACGGCCCATTATTTTTAAAATCAAATTTATATATATTAAAAATAAAATTTAGGAATTTTTTTCTCATGAGTAGTTATGAATTTATGATTTTATATCATAAATAATTTAATATTATGGTTATCAAATTTGTTGTAAACTTGTAACTGTGATTTGCATCAATTATTTCCTTATTCCAACTTATGTTCCAAAAATATTTCTTCATATTAATTTACCTTTATGATGTGATCAGTACTAAGAAGTTTATTAGTTTAATAATATCGCAACTCGGGTTTTTCCTAAAAATAATATTAAATAAACAAAATTATAATAATGATGATATTTAATATATATATATATATATATATATATATATTGAATTAATAATTAAATAATGTAATAATAAAGAAAATTAATATAAGAATTCAAAATTTTAAATGTAGATTCAAATGTAAATTATAATTATTTTAATTTTATTTGCGATACCTAATAAATAATTGAAAATAAAATTAATTTTTTTAAGTGTATGAAAATTATGTGTAGGCCATTTATATGAATGTGCTTACGGCCCTAAAAACTATAATCCGGCTCTGGTCGTAGGATTAAGAATTTGAAATGATTGCAATACCGTTATTTGCAGTCAATTACGAACCGCTTGCCAAATACATTTTTAATAACATTTAGTTTATTGACATTATTTATTATACTTTTTCTCAATGCTATAAGAACTTTCCCAGTATACATCATGTGCTGATTATAGTCTAAAATTTAGTTGCTTTTCGGATACTTATGGCTCCAGTACATTATTACAAACATTTTTTTCTCTATATATAAATTTTATGGTCGTATTATATTATTTAATCTTTTTTTTAATAATTATTTTTTGTTAGTAATTATTAATTATACTCTTTTAAATGTCACTCCATCTATTATCCATTATATTATCTTCCTTAAATATATATTTTAGTAATAAATTATATATGTTACTTATATACATAATATAACTTATAACATGCGTTTATAAACAATATAAACGTTATAAAGTGTGAATTAAATTCTATAATATAGAATATATTTGTCTAAATATTTTTATAAAAATACTATAGACTACAGTCACTCGGTAGAACGCATACTACAGTTACAACATTTTCGATAGACCCCAATATTGAACAGAAATAAACAATATATAGGAAGAAAGAAAAGCACACGCACTCGATAATAATCATATTGAATACTGTCATTAGACAATTATTATTATCTTATCAGGTACTATCATTACGTGATCGAAGTAAGTGGAGGGGTTCACTCACACTAATAAACATATTCATTCTCACACACAGTCGGTTGTGCCGCGGCGTTGACTCAACATGTGCATCGGGTTGCCAATGATTTACTCCTTAATAAATAACCGGCACTGGGCCCCAAAGACTAGATTCATTAAATTTCCTTACGTCCACATTTGATTAGATACTCAAAAAATAATCAATTTACAAATAAACCTATACAAAATGAATTTAAAAAACATGGTTGTTCAATTATAATATGCTAAATAAATAAAGATTATTTTTATTTTACTGATAAATAAATATAGGTAAGTAGGATTTCAACAAGGCTGTTGAGGTTCTCAGTTACTGATTATGAAACACTTATATACATTGCAACTACCAGTGTATGGTGTAGTAAATTAATATTTGTTATTATATAACTTATGATTCTTCTTTCATATATTTTTTGAAAAACAAATAACTATAGATAAATATTGACATACCACATATTAATGATTTTACAATACAATAGTAATGAACAATTCTGACATATTTTATTTTGTATAATATTTCCATATCTTTAAATATAGGAAGATTAATTTATTCTGTTACTCTAGTTATAAAATCTTTTATCGCTTACACTTATTGTTTAAAATGTAATGGATAATAGAAATAAATATTTAAAGTTAAAATAAAAAGTAATAAAGAAATAAAATTACTATAATAAAAAATAAAAATTTATTAAATTAAAAATAAGTAAATGGTTAATACTCATAAATTAATATATAAATAAATAAACAAAGTTTATAATACATAGAAATAAATAAATCTAAAAAAAAAAAATCTCGATTTTAGTAACTTTGTATTATAATTAATCATACATTTTTAATTCGAAACCGATCATACTTTACAAATTTAATAATAATCCAGGAAAATAATTTATTTCTATATGTAAACTATCTGTTTATTTATGTATTAATCATTATATTTGCATATTTACTTAATTATGGTAACTTATCAATACTGATTTATTATAATTCGTAAATAACATCTTAATAAATTATAATATATAAAAATACCTAACATAATGATCTACACAAAGAAACTGAAAAATTAATAAATAAATTCTATTGGAATGAGTAATAGATAACCAATTAAACAATAAAAGACAATTTGTTATTGGAATATAATTGTAACAAATACAGAAATACTCTTTAAATTCGTTTGATTCCAGGGAGGTCAATATTTGAGTACAAACAATAGTTTTTCCATTTATTAGGCTTGACCGTAGCATAGTTCAATGAGAACTTGGTCGGTTTGATTTTAAACACATCAAAATATTTCATTAATTCTTTTTCTTCGCGTTTTAAAAATCCTATCATAATTTTTGTGTTGAAATCATTATGAACTATTTTACACACGGATTCGAACATTTGTTTCATGGGTATATAAAAAAAAGGCGGATCAAATATGATGATACGAAATTGATCTTCCATCTCATATGGATGAGTGATGTCGTAATATTTAAACTTGGGTAAGTAATCGAACCTTGTGTCAATATCCAATAACACTTCTTCTCGACCTTCCAAATGCCACGCATGAGCTAAACTAGGCGTCGTAAGGCAGCAGCATTGTTCGTAAAAGCTTTCGAGAGCTTTCATCAAACGTTTTACCGTCTCCTCGGTCCAAAAATATTGTTCCAGGTCATGTCGCTCAACAAATCCATCTTCAAACATGGATCTTGACATTGTGGAAGATTTCAACTGCAGTTATCACTGAAAAAAAGTTTAATCGAGAAAATTAAATTTTTTAAAAAATAAAATAAATTATCGCTTATTGTTTCAATACTACCATCACATATAAACAGGGCTGCGCAAACTAGGTGTGCGAAAAACAAGGGCGGCAAATATTGGTTATATTCCAGGGGCGGTAAATTTTAATATCAAAGTTTTTGGGGATGCATTTTGACGCTGAGGGGTTTGCTCTCACATTACTTCTAACAAGAAATATCAAGTGATCAAAATATATGGATATTCAATGATAGGTAAAGGATAGCTCTATCGTCTGTCAATATTTCTGACATGAATTTCGTAAATATAGTAACTGGCGACATTATATACAATATTACAATAGCTTCAATAGAGTGGATGTAAGAAGTTATTTAACAATTTTTAAATCTCTAAAATTTTGTTAGTCTACGGGGATTACCCAAGAATAATGTAATTATAAATTATTATAAAATAATATGTATGTAATACCATTGATTATAAATACTATATATTTATAATTAATGGTATTACGTATACTGCATTCTTTTTTTTTTTTTTTTGTTAACAGTAGAAGTCTAACTTTTTTCATCTTGAATTTAATGTTTTGTTCTTATAATTATTTTAAAGTTCATATTACTGGATTATTGTGTATAGTGTATATATATATATATATATATATATATAGTGATATTGTGTATATCCAGACTATAGGTTTATAGGTAAAGAAAAACAAGTTGATTTTTATCAAATTTATTTCATTGAAGTAAAATTGTCTAATATTTTAAAATAATTTATAATATATTTTTATATTTAAATTAAATTAAATCTATTGGAAGACAGCTAATAACATTTTATATAGATACTTACATGCTACAATCCTCATAAATATGCAAATACAATTTTTATTCTGTCAAGTTCATAGTTATAAATTCTGTTGTAAAATTAAGTAAATGTTTAATATAACACATTAAATTTGTAGAACAAAGGTAGCTGAATGGGTTAGAGCGAGCCTGCATATACATAGTTTCAATTGCCGTAAATATACTTGGTAATCGGTATTTATTTTCGTGCATACAACTATCGACTCATTTGCATAGCAATTGCATTTAAAACAGTAAAACAAATTGTAAATTTTACTCACCATGTTCCAAAAGTATCGTCGCTTTACGAATACGAACGCAATACACACTCAAGGGCAGTTACTGATAGTAATGGCGGTATCGCTAGGCGTTGGATACGTGTTAGTAGAGTGCCTCTATCGAGGCACTCTACGTGTTAGTGTAAATAGTAGTAAGTTCCCGTGACGTCAGTCATCATTCGTACTGTGGTGGAACGACTCGTGCTCAACCACATTACTGTCGTGCAGATAGCAGCACGACTGCTGCCACCACGCACCGCCGATCGAGCGACCTCCATAGCGGCGTGCCTGCCTCCACGTCCGTGGTGACGCCGCCCGGGGTTCGCTCTCGATCGTCGTCGTCTCGATCCGACACTTCTCCGCGTACCGTTTTTTGTTTAGTCGTATTCTCCGTCCTCGCCTTTCTCGCTCGGATATCTTTGTGTAACGCGTTCACGCGCACGCGTTTCATTATTGTTTATATAAATATTTTGAGAATAATAAAATTGACTCATCAATATACCAAGTCTCGACTACCTTTTTATTTATTATTGTTGGGAATACGAGTTTTCCACAGTACTAACAGCTGGCTCCTGGCCATGGTTAAAGCTATGATGATAAGATATCATGCTCCTGGCTTAATATGCAAACCATTAACGCATTCTGAGCGCAAGGACGACATGACGTAATGCTAATCACCATAAAGTGTTTCACTTGTAGACGATTTGGCGTTTTAATACAACGGATCGCCGCTCACGTGTCAACTTGCACGATTTGGAGGAGTTGAAAGGTGTTTATCATTTACGATTTTGAAATTAGTGCCCTAAAAATGTTACGAGCTAAAAGAATAAGTTGGTAGGAGTAATTGTTTAGTAACACAGTGCTAGTACGGCGCTTAAAATAAAACAAAATGTGTATATTAAATGTTTTAACAGTATATTTCATAATATATTATAGCAGGCCCTTAGATATAAAATATATATTCTGGAGGGATTTTAGGTTGTATATGGTATTTTCATAATTATGTAATCTATATACCATTTTTACTATATAAAAACATATTTAATAATTTTCCTGCATTTCGGAAGCAATATGATCCTTGTAATAAATATCTAATAAAACCCTTGTGTAGGCGCCTGCATTATAAGTATATCGCCTTTGAAAATAAAACCTAGTCCTAAAAAATTATATTCGTTTCATGAAATCGATTGTACAGTGTATTTTAGTATTCTCTGTAGTATATTAAATAAGTTTTTACCATATTTTTATACACTGTTGTTTAAATAATTCAAAAAATTTAAAGTTGTATTAAAAGATACGCTAGGAGGTAAAAAATTAATCGTTTTAAATGTTTACTTAATATAAAAAGTATAAAAATAAAAATGTTGTTCTTTGTCTCAAAAAAATTTAAGATTTGGCAGACTTACCAAATACCAATGAAATGTGAGGTAGACAAATATGTCAATTTTTTTAAATAATGAAAGGTAAAAATACAATTAATACATTTACAAAAAAAAAAAATCAGTAATAATGATGTGATCAAATATACTTAATATAAGTATTATATATAATATATAATGTATTAAACTTTAATCTTTTAAATGATCGACGTAAAATATAATTTATAAATATATTTAATTAACATTTCATTTTTACATTATTATAACGATTACATTTATACATATGTATAAACCAGGGGCGGATGCAAGCTTACATTTCAGGAGGGGTTTTAAAAAAATAAGAATAATTATCGTTATTTTGAAATAATTATTTATTATATTTTTATAAGTTATAACAATTATATAATCAAATTCATCCACTTCGGTGTTTTTGCCATAATATCCAATATATCTTCACAAGATACCTCCACGTCTCTATATATGTTTAATAATGCTAACCCATCCATTCAATTGGTTCTTCGCCGTCTTGTTTCGTAAATAGGTTTTTAATCTACGAAGACAAGAGAACGATATTTTACTCGAAGTAACTGAAACAGGAAGTGTTGCTTCAATTAGCAAAAATCGATGTATAGACTGATATAACATAGATTCAACATAGATCAAGTTTAGAACATCAATAAACATTTTTGACCTTTTTTTTCAGGTTTTTTTTGAACAGTGTCTGAAACAATAATATAAATAAGTTTTCAAGAACAAAGAATATCTAAGATAATAAGAAATAAAGTTACCTGCGCCACATTGTGATATCCGCTTCTAAATCTTCAACAGATTCTTTTATGTCATTTGGCTTCTACTTTCTAAACGTTTTAGCTGTTACGACTACTTCTTCTGTAGTCAGTTCACAGCACTTTGTTGGTAAAATATTTTGTATTTTTGAAAGTAATTCACGATGATTGAGAAACCTAAATTTGAGTTGATCTAATAAATGGTCTAAAAATGGAATAAAGATGGATCGACGGTAGTACGTTTCGGGAACTCCTTTGTAGTTTATGAGGTAGAGTATGAAGTTGTACTTCATCAGTTTTAGTGCTGTTCTCGTCAAGTTCTTCCAATGATGAGTAAACATGTTTGTAAACATTATGAAACAAACTCAGAGAATTAAAATGTTCAAAATTATCCTAACAATAACTGTAGGGATGGTTTTCGATAGCAAATGTTGCCTAGTTGGTTTATTAGAAACTAGACAAATATTTTTTTTTAATTCCTCAACACTTTTCCTTATAACTATAACATCCATATAATATCCATATAACATGAACACCCGATTTCATATAATTTTATAACGCTTATATTTTTTTGCGCTACTCAGGTAAACTGTTTTGGTTCACCGGAAAGAGAAACTTCTCTAGTACCTACATTATATTATATTTTCAAGTCTTAAGTTTATATATTATAATGTTTATCAAATCTTAACTACCTACCAAAAATGGCAGATTTTGTGATTTTTATCAACATTTCGAATTCAAACGCTTATTTTTAAAAATTGTAACTGCAGATTTTTGAGATTTTTTACATACGAGTAATAACAATTTACAAGGAATATTGAATCAAAATTTCACTATTTTGTAGCCGACCAACATTTTTTTATTGGCGTTTTAAAAAAGAAATAAGGATAGTGGCGAAACAAACGACGGTGAATAGTCCGTTAGCGAAATGAACGGCGGTGAAACGATTTCGGCGAATAATTTGGCGACGGAATTATCGCGGCAAAACGAAAAGTATTGTCATCATACAATCTCAAGCTTTTGAGCTGAAAGTACCAATACTTTTTAGAACGTTTGGAAAATTTCAAATTAATATAGATTTACTTATCTTACTAAAAAATTTTAAATTATTTTTTTCTAGCATATTTTAATTGTCTTTTGAACAATTCATTTTTTTTTTTTTTTTTTAATGTGCATAAGGTAAAATAACTACGTTTGCAATTATCATTCATTAATATCGGGGGGGGGGGGGGGGGCTCAAAACCCTTCCCTGCGTCCGCTACTGGTCTAAACAATATGTGATACATTATGAACGATAGATTCATCGTATAAATATTTTGAATCTGAAAATGATTTGTTAAATACATTTTTAAATACTTATAAGTTATTACTTGTTACATTATGAACCAACAGATAAGAAACACGATTAATATGGGATTATTTCACTAATAATTTAAAATTCAACAAGTTTGATAATTATATTTTTGAGATTTCAAATAGATTTATAATTTAAATGTTTCATTAATAATTTACTCAATAAATTAAAAAATATTACTAATGATATTCGATAAATATGCTCTTTTACTCAAGTGACTTTTTTGTTACTTTAGTCTATTGTATTTATTTATTTATTTATTGTATTTATGACGTTATAGCTTTTTCGTGTTTTCATTGTTATAATATTATTTTTCTTTATTGATAATACCAAGGATAATACGCTTGTAAGTTTTTTTCTATACATTTTATATATATATATTGATTAGTGTTTAGCGTTGAATGATCGGGTTGTCTAATTAATATCTTTATTTTTTTTTATTTAACTAATAATATTAAGGCGACACTGGTAGCAGACGTAAATAGTTTATTGACCTATTTTATTTTTTGTCTATTATACACATTATTTTTTACGTACAATTTGGATTTTATTAATACAGTCGACTCTAGATAATTTGAAGTTGACGGGACTGTTGAAAAATTTCGAATTACCGAGAGTTCGAATTGTTAAGTAGTTCGAAATAACAAGAGAGCAAAAACAAATTCGAATTACCGAGTTAAAAAAAAAATTTTGTTTTTTATTATTGTACATAATTATTAATTATTTCAGCAAATTAGGTAGTATTAGTTATTTATTGTTTTTAAAATGTAAATTTTAACTATATAATAATTATACTGTGTAAATTAAATTATTATTATTTTTAATACATTTTTAAAGTTACCTACGTCATAAATTAATTACACTAAAATTAACTTGATTTTAGAATTATCGCATTTATTGCACTGTGAGTTGTAAAGTAATTCTTGAAGTATTGGTATATTCAGTTTCAGAGATATACAAGTAGTACTAGATATAGTAAGAGATATAGAGATTCAGTTCCCTACCTTTGAAACAGCTTAAAAATGAACCCTTAAAAATTATATCCAAAACATGTAGTGACATTAAAAGATTGAAAGATTAAATATATAAAAGGGTGTATGACTAATTTGCCAACTTTACATTTAGGCATTAAATATAGATAATAGTCAATTTATATTCTTAAAAACTGTTTAGTAATTCTTGAAATACTATAAACACTCAGAAAAGTTACTTTAAAAATGACTCATGAATCAAGATAAACAGCAAAAACAAATATAAACAACAAATTTTAATATTACGTAAATAAACATGGTACCTATAACAGATAAATTCATTTGGTTTTTGTGGAAATAATTTTTTTTTTTATTATTATTATTCATGGACAGCTTCAACTACTAAGGTTATTAGTTTGTAACAAAAAATGATGTTGTTTAATTAAAAAAATATGATACAAAATGTTCTTCAATAAATTTTACATATAAATTGGTTTTTTTCTTTTTTGTCACATGTAAATGTACAATAGCTATTTAAATTAAGTTATACATATCAATTTGTTTAAGAAATGTGATTATTTTGTTGTTGTTGTCATTGGTTGGGTTGAGAGCTTCGAAGATGTTGTAGGGAATTTAGAGTCTTTTTCTTGTATCTATATGGTTACGA